TATAAATACCATCAATAGATTTTTATGATATAGTTAATTGATTGCAGACTTGTAAAGAATGTGATCCAGAGTTGATTAGATGTCCCATATGCCGCAAGCCGATTGATAGCCGTGTCAGGGTTTACCCTTGATTAAATTCCTTGAGGATGTAGGTACCTTCCATCAATATGCACATACATTTGCCTCTATTAAGTGAGGATAAACTACTTCTGCAACTGATACTAGAAGCAGAGTTACCTGTTTTGTACAATGTGTACCTTCCTATGTATCTGTTGTATTTGTTTAGTTTCTGAACTGTTAAAATTGGTTTTTCATTTACACGGTTTGATTTTGAAATTATAGAGAACTATCCAGATTCATGTTGTTGAGCACCAAGCAATAAAGGATATGATTCAAGGGATACTCTGTTGTTTAATTTGGCAATGGCTTTTATTTTTATTTGCAATTTCTAAATGCCTTTAGACTGGGATATGAACCTTCGAACGGCTTAGAGTTCAGTGTGAGGTAGGGTAGCAACGGTTTAATGAACTAGAGATTGAGAGAGATTAGAAGCCAAACTTGGCGGGGAGAAGGTTGAACCCAGGTGGCTACACTAAGATAGGCGTCATCCAGGGCTGCACGACTCGGCCACAGGGGCGGCCCAAGATAATTTGGAGTTTAAAGTGCAAATAATAAACGAGACTTTTTATATTTTTAAAGTGAAAATTGGTAAAGCTTGTTCAAATGGCCTTTTAAGTCATTAAATACAAGTAGAGCACTTTCTAAAATGATAAAGGACAAATCTAATTAATTTTTTTTTTGTTCTTTGGTCTATTCTAGTTAAATACTTTTTTAAATGATCATCATATTCTTTAGTCTCAAGGTCAATAATAGATATGTCGTTTCTCTCCCACTCTCTTCAGCCTTAAAAGTGTTGAAGATTAGACCTAAAGGCAAAAAAATTCCTAATTGTACCTCTCACCAAATCTCTTTTTAAAAAAATATTAATTAAGATTTTGTATTCAAGTTTTAGTTATCATCGTTGAACTTGCTAGTAAGAGAGAAACGGGAATGATTGAAAAATATTTTTTTATTATATAATGACCAATTTTTTTAATTTTTAGTAACTTTAGTTTTATTGTTAATTTTTTTTAAAAAAAAGTAAATTTAGCTTTATGAATTAAAATTTTTCGTGAATTCAGTTTTTTATGAATTAAAATTTTTTATTTAGC